TGTGCTCCCGGCTGTAGGGCAGGCCTGCCCACAGCATCCGGCCAGCGCATTTACACCCTGACCTGGAGGGACCACATAAAGGGTGAGAACGTGACTCTGTCTCCATGCTCATCCCAGGCCTGTGTGGTTAGCTGGAACTGCCCACGCGTGGTGTGGGTGGGCCTGGGGTTTCAGATCTCAGGAGGAAACCCACCATGCATGGAGGTAAACCCGTGTCAGGGGGCAGCCCATCCACCCACCACCATCCCTTCATCCATGAAAGCCCTGAGCCTTAGAACAAAGAGAGGTCATTGTGTGTTTTAAGACTAGTACTCACCTAGGAATCCTGTATTGCCATGAGTACTTTTTGTAGAAGAATGCCTGAATGCATTTACACGGAGCTTGAAGCTGTAAACTGTCTTCTGACAGTTGGGCATGCCTTAGAGGTGGTGTTGGCCACTTGACTGTTTCACAGAGGGATACTCTTTTCCTTAGACTTGACACTGAGTGTCCCTCCAGACCTCATTTTGTCTCTGATGCCCAGAAATTGGAGAATGCTCTAGTTTGGAGCTGGTCAGTATGAAGGTAATTAACGCCCGTGGCAAAGGCTTTCCCAAGAAGACTTGATGACAAGTTGTGTCCTGGAGGAAAAGATCTCCTGTTTCTTCCTTCCTTTCGTTCCCTCTCTCCCCCTCCTTCCAGCTTGCAGGCTCAGGGACATTGTCTGTCTTTACCTCCATTTCCACGCCACTCCATTCCACCGGGATTTAGTCATGCTCCACCCACTCCCATAATCCCCAGGTCACGAGGACTAATCTGATTTGTGACTCTTCTTTTTCCCCCTTAAAATATGAAAAATCTTACAGCGTTTCCTAAATGCTACCTTACCTCATTTACTTAGATACTTGTCCAACTCAAGTGCCTGTATGGGAAGTTTGTTTCCGTGGAATTAAAAATGCCCCAGAAACTTCTAGATACCAAACAAAGCTTCCGAAGTGGAAAATAAGCAGACAGATGAAACATAGACCTGTAATGAAGATATCCACGCTGTCTGGGCTGCTAACCCATACTGGGGGAACACGTATGCTCCAAAAAGCCCTACTAAATCTGTCTGGATTTCTGGAAATTTCTGGCTGGCACATAATGAACTCTGTAAAAAATGTTAACTTTTACCGTTCTCACAGGCCAAGGGATTCTTTCACGTAAGTACAGTTTACAAAGCCATGTGCACACCAGCTGCATCCCCTTCCATGACAACGACACACGGGGGCTGAGTGGCAGGATTAGGTATCAGTGGATGGCGTCCTCTTCCTGACGTAGGTCCCTGGCTGACTTCAGCTCCACGCCATCCCCAAGTTCAGCGCCGTGTCTGCCACCCGGGGGCAGCATCAGCCCCGGGTGGCTTAGCTTAGAATGAACTGGAAGGGCGGGTTGGCCCCTCCTGCCCTTTCTCTCACCTTCATGTTCTCCACCACCCCAGATTTGTTCCGTTATCTGTATTGTGCTCACTTCAGGCAGGGGAAGATTGGGAGCTGATCACAATGAGCACACCCTTCCTGCTTTGCCCAGTGAGGGATGCAGGACCTGGGCCCTTTCTCCTCTTCATAGACCATCGTACTTCCCCCCCCCCCACCGCCAGCCCAGCAGCTTTAGCCATGGTTGTAGCTTAGCAAACGCACAGTGCCTTATCACTGCTACAGATGAGGGTGGGTTATCAGAGGTTCTCAACACAACACACAACATGGCATTGGAGTCTATCACAGGCATAGGGATCCTAGAAACTCCAACATCCCAAACTCCAGTACGGTCCCAAATGACCTGGAAACTTTTGGCAAGCATTATAAAGAGAGAAGCATTATTTATTCAGTGATTCATGCATGGCTCCATATGTTAAAAATAATTGGCTTGGTATTAAGAATTCAAATCTGGGGACTTGTAGGACATTTCTATCACGAAGCATCTCTCTTTGTGCACATAACTCCTAGCTAAACCTCCGACTAACATTAGGTGTAAAGGGCCCTTTTTTCATGTTTTAGAAGACAGGGAAGCAGGACCAGGAACAGCTACAAACGACCCTCTTAGAACCTCACTCCAGGTGGAGGGGGCAAGAAGCAGTCTTAGCTCTGAGGGTTTTTTTTTTTTTTTTACTGATGAGTTGATTCTCTTCCAGATATCCCACAAAATAAGATTGCATGTGCCTTCTGTTGTTGAAGGGGGGGCGGGGGGAGGATTTCTTATAGGATTTTGTTAAGCGCAGGTAGTCCCCGGATTACAAATGAGTTCTGTTCCCCCTCCATTCCCCAATCTGTCTTTACATTCAATTTGTATATAAAGCAATAGTTAGGAATGGTTTATAGCTAACATTTTAGTATAATCTCAATCAAGTCTTAGTATAGAGTTTATAGTATACCATTCTGTGTCTCAAAAATGTAAACGAAACACTTCTGTGGCTTAACCCACGTACACGAAAACATCTTCGACTAGTAATATTAATGCTTTGAGGTGAGTTTTAAAATATCACCAATTTGTCACTGTGACCCATCTACATAGCTTGAGTTTTTAGTATAATAGGCTTTGTAAGTGGCTTAGTTAGTAGTAAGGAGCTGTACTATCAACCCAAAGGCAGGTGGTTCTAATCCATCCTTGTGAAGAAGATGACCGGTCTCCTGTCATGCAATTTACTGCCTCAAAATCCACTTGGAGGGTCAGGTATGGGTCAGTTTTAGCTCAGTGGCACACAGCAATAGGCTTTATAGGGGTTCGTATTGGTCATGCATGCATATGTAAGAGCTTTGTATCTTGAGAAAGGCCTGACAGGAACATATCCATTTACTTGGAAGGATAAATGAGAAAATAGAACTCACACTGTCAGCTGAGCTCTGCTAGCAAGTTCCACACACTCTTAAAGTCTCATTTTCCTAGTGAGGTTTCCTCAGTCCAAACGTTCCCTCGTGATGAGAGATAATCATTATCGCCTCACAACCAACAAGTGAGTTCTCGTGAATTAGATGTGCTGGTTAAAGACTTCCCCCCTCTGCCCCTTCCCAGCAAAATGTCTTTCTTTCCTTATTTCTGCTTCAAATTCAGCAGCTACCGAGAGTTTGGGAAAATAATTTTCACAGTTGTCCTCTGACTTTTTCCCATAAGATTATCTGACATCAGTTCAGAGATGAGGCAAAGAAAGTGCTTAATCACTCTGTGTGGGTAGAAAATGGCCTCCCAGGGAAGTCCCCGAGTCTCTGATGCCTCTGTGACAGGTCAGACACTCAAATGGTTTTCCCTGGACCTGAACCTCAGCTGGAAACGCTGGGCAAAGCTGGCGTCTCCGTGCATGGCAGGATGGCTCAGGGCATAGTTTGCCATCCTGTGTGTCTCCCTTGTACGTGTGTGTGTGTGTGTGTGTGTGTGTGTGTGTGTGTGTGTGTGTGAGAGAGAGAGAGAGAGAGAGAGAGAGAGAGTGAGTGAGTGTGCTCGCTTTAGGTGAAAGTTTCTATAGCGTACTTGCTTTCCGGCCAGTAGTTCACACAGAGATTGTCCTCCACACTGGTCACAATTCCAAAAATGTGTCATCACTCTCCATTTCCTCCCTGGGTTCCCATTTCCATTTGTCTGTCCTGCCTTCTCGTTGGTTTGGGACAAATGCCACCCTTTCGGCCGCGTGCAGCTGACTGCTCTAGGAAGCACATTCTTTGTCTCCACCGGCGTTACTGTTTATTTTATTGTCCCGTCTATTATTTGCCTGAGAGGAGGCCTCCGGGAGTGCCTTCAGTTTCAAGTTAGAAGGTCGTCCCAGGGCAAGAGCCTTACACGGGCTTGCTTCTTTGAGAACACACACAAAATTGGTCAGGGAAAATCAAAATACAGCAAAGAGTAGGAGGGGCTTTCGAGGCAGGGGGGAGACTGAGGCAGGCTCTGGACGTTTTAATCAACCTGTGATCGTTTCCCTTCAAGATGTTGTCAGGGCACTGTTTTTGAGGAAGGTAAAACAGAAAGATGTTTCAAGGTAAGACTTCACACACTCTTTTCCATGTTCCTGGTGCTCTTGTTTTTTTTCCTGTCCTGCTTACATTTCCACTGTGATTGCTGGTGCTGTGACAGCTCACGTGCATATGAAATGTAATGGATGTGCCAGTCAGTGCGTCTTATCATATTCACTTGCAAAAGCATTGGGGCCTTGTAGAATCGTTTTAGATGCATTTAAATACAGAATGAGTTCTGTGGTTGGCAGGTGCTGGTGAGTGGATTTCTATGCATAGCCTCCCCCATAAGGTAACAGAGTAGAGATACCCTATAGGCTTTTCTCAGCTGTAATTTTTGCTCACCAGACCTTTCTTCTTTGGCACTGCCAGGTGGGTGCAAGCTGCCCACCTTTCAACTAGTGACCAAGTGCTTAACAAATGCACCACCAGGACTCCTTGAATGGCCTCTAAGCTCATAAATTTCTCTTGTAGGCCAGCATTTTATGTATTGAAATAACTATTTCCACAGTAACCTGATCTATCCCTCAAAGGATAGATTTATTTAAGTATTTTGGGGAGTGGTTAGAGGTGTTGTCCAATAAGCCATAACGAACTTCATTTAAGTAAAATTTCTACAGGAGTCTTATGTGCATCACTTTGCATTTAGATTCTAGAAGAGCATGAAGAGATTTCTCTCCCAGCTTTCCCTTGTTTTGAACACCATCAGATGTTCCTTTTGAAATAGGTCCAGATCTAATGCGTCCAGTCTTTCAGCGATGCACGTTGGATACCGCAGGCTTCCATCTCTGTTCCATCCTCTCCCCTCGCGGCTCTCCCTTCCCCTGGCTGCTGTTTCCCATGACATCTGTGGAGTTTTACTGCCATCTGCTGGCTACCATATAGAAATGCTGTCACTTTCTTTATGTAGCCGTCTTGAAACTATTTCCCCGAAGGTCTTTGGGTTTCAGCTCGATGTCGTTTGTGTAATAATAATTGCGTTGTTTCAACCTGACCACTAATGGTTAGCATACTCACGCTGCTGGCATTGTCTCTTTGCACCAGAAGCCCTGACATGCTGCATTCGGAAGTTTCCTTTGCCCTGGGAGGGAGGCACTCATCCATAGATTCCAACAAAGCCTCCAGCGGAGACATCTCCCCTTATGACAACAACTCCCCAGTGCTGTCCGAACGCTCCCTTCTGGCTATGCAAGAGGACATGGCGTCGGGGGGCTCGGAGAAGCTTTATAAAGTGCCGGAGCAATGCATGCCAGTGAGCCATTTGCCATTGAAATCCAGAGAAGGTTCTCCCGGACCAAGAGTCGGGAAAGGTAAGCGAAGCTGTGCTCTCGTGTGTAGAACAGTGGGAGCATTAGGTTTTTTTGCGTGCGCGCGCGCGCCCGCATGCGCGCACACACACACACACACGGTGTATTTCTCCATTATCCTAAGCCCAGTCATTGACTACCTGCTACCCACCTTCTTCAGAGACAGGAAGTTATGGCAAACCCCTGAAGCCTGCGCTGCTTCTCCAATACCTGGGACAATGACTGAGCACCGAAGGCCATGGTTGGTGCAGAAAGGTTGGCAGGTGGGGTCCATCCAGAAAGGCCTTGGAAAAAATGCCTGGTGTTTTACCCCTGAAAATTGCTGTGCGTTTTGTTCGCACCACCCAGGGATTTTAGTGAGGGCTTAATGGAATAGTGGGAAAGCCTGCAACAGGGAACTGTTCTCTTAATGTTGTAGAAAAAGGGGATTCGTGGATAAATACATACACACAGAAATCCATCTGCTGATGCCATAAGCAGAGGCCACGTTTTCCCTTGCTATCCAAAGGTATAGTGCTTCTATGAAACCTTTTATGAGCTGGAATGTGGCAAATTGAGGATGCAATTACCATGTATTTATATGGAAAAATTTTCAAGCATTTTTAAATCTCAAAACTAATCTAGCAACTCATAACACATAAAACCTAAGCTAATGCTAACTGTTAGGTCTGGACAGTGCGGCCAAAGGGGGAAGTGAAGAATCCAAACGCTGACAAGAAGAGCAAATAGCCTTGCCTGCATAGCAGAACTAATAGATGAACCATAAATCTGACTCTGTTATAAAAACCCTCCCTGATACCCTCGAGGTGTGACTTCCCCACTCTGCATCTCCAGAATGAGGAACCTCATTCGGGAGCTCCCCTATCCCCCCTTTAATAAAGCTGTGTTAAGCTTTCTCTTGTTTGCTCTCATTCCTTTCTTAAGTTTGCTAACTTAACACTAGCCTAGGTAGTTCAGTGATGAAGGGTGAAGTCCTTCTCCCGTCACATCACTCTGATACTCACTCCTCCACCTCGCTCCTTCATTTTTAAGGATCTTGGTGATGACATCAGGCCCCACTGGCTATTCCACAGTAATCTCCCTTTAATCCTCCTTAACGTTCTCATTTCTGCCAAAGGTCTTTTGGTTTCATCATACCAGGGGTTAGGACATGGATGTCTTTGAAGGGTCACAATAAAGAGGGAAGGTTTTTTTGGTCTGTTTTTTATTTTGTTTTGTTTTGTTTTGTGTTAAGGTCCCATGTGAAATAAAACTCTGGAAATTCAGATCTAAATCATATAAATGATGTGTGTCTATTCCCATACAGGTGATGTTCTGAGACTTGTTTGTTTTTTATTTTTGTCCTGGAACTTGAATATACTATCACTCTCTTTCCTAGGTATGTCTGAGGACCCTTTCAATATCTGGGGAACCTGGCATTCAACTTTAAAAACGGCATCGAAAGACCCAGGAATGACAGGTGAAATAATTTCTTTTTTTTTTAATGGAAATCCAAGTTTATTATAAACTTAAAATAAAACCTCAATTAAAATTTTAAAAAAAAGAAATGGGGAGAATACTGACACATTATGGGACATTATGTTCCAATGTCATGGACACTTTATGTACAAACTGGAATGGAAAACTAATTTATTCTGTGAATGTTCATCTGAAACACAGTTTTTTAAATGAAAAGAAAATTAATATCTAAAATAGGTAAATGCATAGAGACAAAAGCAGGTGGTGATTGTTTGTAGGTGCTGTCAAGTAGACTACAGCTCATAGCAAACCTCTGAACCACAGAGCCAAACCTTGCTCCGTGCTGCACTGTCCTCAGATCTCGGCATGCTTGAGCCCACTGTTACAGACACCGTGTCAGTCATCTTGCTAAAGGGCTTCCTCTCTTTTCCTGACCCTCCACCTTTCCCAACTTGATGTATTTTTCCAAGGGCTGCTCCCTCCTGACAACATGCCCAAAGTATGTGAGACAGACTTTGAGCAGTCTTGCCTCTAAGGAGGACCCTAGTTGCACCTCTTTCAAAACAGGTGTTCTTTTGGAAAGCTATGGGATATTCTGCAACATCATAATTTAAAGGCATAGATTCTTCTGTCAACATTTTTGTTTGAGGTATTGAAAAACTTTTGGAAATGCAAAGCAGTAACAGTAGCAAAACATAGTGAATTTAATCAACGTCACTGCATTATGAGAAGGGCCTGAAGTGCTTGCTGCAGAAGGTCAAGTACTGCAGCCTTCAATATGAATTGAAGCTCAACATCAAGAAGACAGATTCTCACCACTGGGCTGACTGGCAGCATCATGATGGTGAAAAGATTGAGATTGTTAACACCTTTCATTTGCTTAGCTCCACAATCAAAACTCTTGATACCAGCAGCCAGAAAAGAAAAAGATGAATTGCTTTGGGAGAGTCTGCTGTCAGGGACCTGTATAGAGTACTGAAGAGCAATGATGTCAGTCTGAAGACTAAGGTGCACCTGATCCAGGCTGTAGTATTTGCAATTACATGCTATGCATCAGAAAGCTGGACAATGACTAGGGTTGATAAGGAGAATTGATGCCTTTGAGCTGTGTTGTGGTGCTGGAGAAGAGTACTTCTTTTAAAAAAAATGTATATATTGTTTGCATGTACTCTCAAAGTTTTGTTCATCTCATAAATAGCAAAATACACATTTGCCAAATAATATTTAGAAAAAATGTTGAAGATTGAGGTGGGGATTTGGGAGATTAAATAACATTTGGTGAGAACTTAGCTGCCAAACCAAAGATACACAGTTCAAATCCGCAAGCCACTCAGAAGTAGAAAATTGGGCAATCTCCTCTCATGCGATTTACAGCCCTGAAAACCCACCATCAGCTATGAGTCAGTTCAGACTCGATGGTGTGTACCAACAGCAACTTGAGTACTGTTAGCCTTTTCATATAATCAGTCTATCTCCTTATTAAAAGGGCAGAATTCACACACCCACAGAGGGAAGACCATGTGCAAACTACAAAGCAAGCAGTGCCAAGGAATGAGCCGGGCTACCATTGAGGAGGGGCGCTCCTCTAGAACCAATACCCTGATGTATCAACGTAGTTAGACTCATTCTGTCAGAATCAATCTGACAATGTGGTATTATTTTTGCCGTTACTTCTTTTCTGGTACAATTTTCTATGGCTTCATAGTATTGTTTCACTGTAAATTCCACGTGACAAGCTAATGTGGTTTTTTTTGACAATTGTTTCACTTTGTTGTTGTTGTTATGTGCCGTCGAGTCGCCTGCGACTCATAGCGACCCTATGTACAACAGCCCTAAACTCCGCTCTGTCTTGTGCCAATCGCACTGTCTCTGACACTCCCATCCCAATTACTTTGGACATGTTGTGAGGAGAGACCGGTCCTTAGAGAGGGACATCATGCTTGGGAGGGTGGAGGGACGGCGCAGGAGAGGAAGGCCCTCTATGAGGTGGATTGATTCATTGACTGGGATAATTGGGATGGGAGTGTTTCACTTTAGTTATGATGAATGATGCTCTCAGGAAACCTTTTCAATGTACATGTTAGGGCTTTTTGATTTGTTTTTATATTTAAGATGAATAATAGATTGTCCAAATTTTGGAAAAGAAGTCAAAGGCTATAAACTCCAAGTAAAAATAAGCACCAAAACCCAGACCTAGAGTTGTCGATGCCATTCTAACTTGTTGTGACCCTATACGATGGAGTCAAGCAGAGTAAGGAGTTCCCAGGGCTCTAATTACTATGGAAACAGACAGCCCCAGCTTTCTCCCATAGAATGGCTAGTGAGTTCACAGCTCAGCTGTTTTAATCACTGTATCACTCGGGCTCCTTCACAATGTTGTTGTTATGTCCCATCGAGTCAGACCCTCCAGCAGGTTTTCAAAGTCAGTTAATCATCCAGGAGGAGAAGGCCCAACCTTTTTCCCTGGAGCAGCTGGTGTGCCTTTAGGATTGCAGCTTCTTACCACTAGGCCGCTATAATTCTTTCTTTCATAATAGAAAACCAGACCCAAACCTTAACAAGCTCAGGCTGCCTCCTGTTTTTCCCAAGCAGCAGCTAGCTGGTGGACTTGAAGCATAGACCTTTTGGTTAGCAGCCCAGTGCTTAAGCCACTGTGACACCAGGGATTCTTCCAAGGAGGAAAACGGGTCAAAAAAACATGAACCTTTTAGAGATCCCTTGATATTGTTACATCACCGTCTTAGTTTACTGGTGACGTCATAATAAAAATGTCACAAACTGTGGCTTTAAAGAACAGAAATGTATTGTCTCCCAGTTTGGGAGGCGGAAAGCCTCAAAAGGGCCTGAAAAAAAAAAGTGACAAGGACTATTTTATCCAGTCTGTCAGCTCACCTGACAGTAATGGAATCTGTCACTCAGAATGTGCCATTAATGAAGAAGTCTTTTTTTCTTCTTTTCCTAGGAAATTGTTTTTGTTTGGGTTTGGTTTTTTCAGTGAGGTGGTGCACATAGCTACTAAATGAAAAGTTGGCTATTTGAGTCCACCCTGGGGTGTCTAGGAAGAAAGGCCTGGCAATCTACTTATGAGAAGAAAAAGAAAAAATAAGCAGCCCTTTAAAACCCCAGGGGTATGCAGTGACTTGTGTTGACAACAGGTTCGGTTTGATTTTTGCTATTAACCAATTCATTCTCCTTCTCGGTCTCATTTTCTTTCTCTCCCTCCCCTTCCCTCCCTCTCTCTCCCCCAGGTTCTTATGGAGACATTTTTGAAAGTAGCTCCCTCCGCCCCAGGCCGTGTTCCCTGTCTCAGGGGAACCTGTCCCTGAACTGGCCGGGGCGGCAGGAGAGCCCCGCAGAGCTAGAGGGTGGCCCGCTGGTCCCCCGGAGAACTCGGACGGCCACCATGGCGGAGTGCGGGGCTCACCCTGCGGTGGCCCGTGCGTACAGCACGCTCCCCGGCCGCGCCCTGACGATGGCCACCATGGCGCCGAGCGGCGAAGAGCTGAGCCCAAGCGCGGCCGAGCCCGACGCGGCCATGCGGCAGGCCGGAGCCCGGCCCCGAGCCCAGAGACCCGCGGAGAGCGGGAGGCTCGAGGGCAGGCCGCCGCCGCCCTACCCGGGGCCCGGGAAGCCGCCGGCAGAGTCCCAGCTGTGGCGGCGCCAGCGGCCCGACGAGGGCTCGGTCCGGCCCAAAGACAAGCAGAGACTGAGCAGCAGCAGCAGCGGCAGCGGCAGCGGCTGCACGGCCCCGAGCGCAGAGCAGAACCGGAGGAAATTGGGAGAACCTAACTGGCTCGACTGGCAGAGAGATCGATGGCAAATCTGGGAGCTCCTCTCCACCGACAACCCCGACGCCCTCCCTGAAACGCTGGTCTGAACCCACGCTGCAGCCTGAGCCCGCACGGTCCCCCAGCAGCCCCCTGCCGCCCTCCAGGGGCCGAGCAGGGCTGGGTGACCTTTGAACACTTTGCTTCGGCTTTGCTCTTCTGCGCATTTAAATAGCAGCACAAGAGAAGCTCCACGAACTGCAAGACTAGAGACCTCTGCCCCTCGTCATTCACAAGGCAGTCCTCTTGCATAGCCAACCCTAGGGAAAAACCCAAACCAAAACGGAAGACCATCCCCAGTCTCTGTGTAAACCTGCAAGACACACCCTGGCTCTGTGTAAGATACAACTCTTGCTACAATATTGTGTAATTGTATTTATGTGTCTTCTGTAATAGATTACGTATGACAAGCATATATATTCACAGAGAAAAAGAAAAACAAAACAACAGAAAGGAACAGGTGTTTTTTTTTTTATTCACTTCACTCAGATTGTGAGTGAGAGAGATTGAGCAGTGAAAGAGATTGAGCAGTGAGATCATATAGAATGTTCTGGAACGTGCATAAGTGGGTTCCTGCGCTTTTGCCATAGCCTTTTGACAGGGGACAACCCTTTGATGCCTAAGAAAAACAAGTTAACAAAGAATGTGAGAAAGCCATATTTTTATACAGTAGCAAGATACAAGACATATAGTCACTGAGTACTTTTTCATATTGAATGTTTTGAAGAATATTTTAAATTTGATACATTATGAAATATATTTTTGGAATCTGTTTAGAAAGGTTTAACCAAGCAAACGAAAGGCAGTGCCTAACAAGGAAAGAATAGTTAACAACTTGTCCTTCCCCTTCCAGTTCAAGTTCAGTCGTATGTAGACCGTATATAATATATATTTATGTCTAATTTTGTGTCTTTTTCAAAACTACAAACTGGAATCAGACTATAAGTTGTTTAAGATTCTAAATAGAGTATTCAAAATTCTAGAAGAACATTGATCACCCCCTCTTTGCTCTGTAATCAGTATTAACCAAATTATATTCAATGCTTTGTCAAGTGACTTATAATTGAGACAAAATCCAACTGTAGCTTTGTACTTAAATTATGCCAAATGCTGAAGAAACAAACGCTTTCATCAGTCACTTAAATGTCGTGTTGTAAAATGTTGTACTGGACTTCAGTAGTAACTTTCAAGTTTTTCAATTACAAAACCATTGGATGACCAGCAGGTGGCGATTTACTTCAGTATTTTATGAGACGTTTTCACTTCACGAGGGAAAGTGTATTAAGAAAAAAAAAACCACTTGTGTTGTATTGGTTTGTTTTTGTTGTGTTTGGTTTTTTTTTAAAAAAACATGCTATTCTTAATTTTCATGTTGGCGATGCCATGTTCTGTGGTGTTTCTGAAAGTTCTATCTTGTGCCATATGAATAAAAAGTTAAGCAAAAGCTTTTTTTGCCCTTGGTATTCAATCTCATGAATGAACTCAGCGGACCCTGTTCTGGAGGTAGAATTCATCCACGAGCCCAAGTGTAATATATAATAACAATATTACATGTGTGCAACTAAAGTTGTTGCATACGGACCATAGCTGACCCTCCTGCGGCTTTTCAGAGGCATTTAAATCGTGTGGGAGGAGATTGCTGAACGCAAACACCTTCCTTACTTCCTGTCTCTGTGGATTTATTAGTGCCTACTCTGGACATTTCATATAAATGGAGTCCTACAGTGTGGGGGCTTTGTCTCCTCTGACAACATAATGTTTCACAGGTCTATCCATCTTGTAGTTATCACACTAATAGTCTCTTCTTAATTGTTGTTGTTGTTGTTGTTGTTTGATGCCATCGAGTCGTAGACGACTCATAGTGATCCTATGAACGAACAGCCTGAGCACTGTTCGTACATAGAGTTTCTGGAGGCTAGCTATTTCGGAAGTGGATGCCGCTCCTGCTTCCAGGCTTGATTTAGTCGGGAAGCTCCAGCCAACACTGTCCACCATGGGTACCCATTACCACGATTGGCACATCACTGTCACAGGCTTCAGCATCACAGCAACCCCACGAGTTACCTCTGTACAGCAACGCACAGACCAGTGCTATACCACCTAGAAGAATATTTGACAGGAAGACAATTTGAACCTGGCCGAGGGCCACAGATGACAATCACCCACCTTCGGCTTGGTAGCATAGCTTCATTTCCACTAGGCCAATGTAGCTCTCTCTTGGTCGTCGTCATTGCTATTGTTGTTTGATGCCATCGAGTCGTAGACGACTCATAGCGACCCTATGAACGAACGGCCTGAGCGCTGTTCGTACATAGAAGTTTCCGGAGGCAAGCCATTTCGGAAGTGGATGCCGCTCCTGCTTCCACGCTTGATTTAGTGGGGAAGCTCCAGCCAACACTGTCCACCATGGGTACCCGTTACCATGATTCAAATAATATTACTACGCAGGAAGAGATATACACATGTACCAGTTGCCTGTGAGGAATTTTTTTTTTAGTCACAGGGACTGTCATGGATTGAATTGCGACCTCTCAAAATAAACAAACAAAATGACCTGATAGAACACTGAGGCTGATTAACCAAATAGCTGTAGGATTTCATGTGAAATTCGACACTCCCTTGATTCCATCTCAACCCTAACAGGATACACACAGAGTTCCTCTAAGTGTGGCCAGGAATGCAGGTTAACTCACTAGACCGTGAAGGTGAGGGAGCTGTGTTGACTTAGTAAGAAGCTGTCTCCAACCCACCAGCACGCTGTTCCCAACCAAGAGTGCTGGGAGTATCATCAGGCTCCAACATCCTCACAGTCCACAGTGGTGACAGCTGAGGCTCAGAGACTACAATGGCACAACCCAGGGCAGGCTGCCAGCCTCTGAGGCGCCCTTCTCCACCACCTTAGCCACTGCCTCGAGCTAGGGTGTGGGTGGGGTTGCTGGCAAGCTCATTGCCTTAGGGGGAGGATAATATTGATGATTCAGCACAGAACCATCTAAAGAAACACAGCTGTGAACTCGCACCCCTGGGTCCCCTCAAACACATTTTCAGTCAGAATTCTAGCGCTTGCCACCATTTCTGAGCTCACTGGAAGGGGCTGGACTTTTACATATGTGACCCACCGTCATGTAGATTGTGTACATGAGGACATTTAAGGACTGCTAGCTAGGTGAGAGAACAAGAATAGTAAACTCATTTTTGACCCTAAGCCCAGTTTGAAGCCCACCTTGTATGCTAATACTTATCTCCTGCAATAATCTCTCCAGGTTCTTAACAGAGCAAGCACCACAGTTAAAGATGTAATTTCTTTGTAAACTGTGCGGAAGCCCAAAATTGAGTCTCCAGTTATAAATGGGATTTCCCACCAGGACAGAGAAGTACCCACTCCAAGACTGTTAGCTAGACACAAAATGGCTCCAAACGGCCGGTAAATGGTGAAAGGGTGGGTAACCACTTAAGGCCCATGCCAGCAATTTCCCTTGATAGGTGGGAGGTTCCATCCACAGATACTGAGTCAGAAAAAGGGCTGCCCATGGGGCTTCATGTTCAGAGGACGTATACAAAGGAAATGACAGAACATTGCTGCAAGACACAATAAAAGACCTAAAGAAGTGAAAACATGGTGGCCTCATTTTTAGAGGCCAACTTCAGTCATAAGGTGGGTTCAGTCCTAGACCACCTGAATATAGCATCACAATAAAGGAAGTCAGGCAAACTTTGTTTCCTCATGTGCATAAATGCTGACACTGTACTGTATGAAGTGTGCATTAACATGACGGCAATCTTTGAAATCTTGCAGAGTCAAAACAAAGTCTGCTTACAATTCTTTTCCTCCATGGTTTGCAAAGTCGTGATTAATAGATGAGAAAACGGCTGTGTCAAGCAGGAAGGAGCGTGTGGATTACATGTCTGTGAAGATTACATGTCTGAGGTCAAGTTACTCTCACAAGTTTGTAAAGCCTGTTATCAGCTTTACTTTCAATCACACGAAAATGCTGAGATGTTGAAACATTTAAGGCTGTTAGGTTTTGAAAACTCAGGTGACAAAATCGACCACAAAGACATGCACATTGGTTTATCTGCTTACTGTTAGCGCCACTCACAAATTCAACACTCGTTTCTGATAAATTAAAGGATTTAATATTACCAACACACAGGCAAAACCAACAGTCATTTGTAACACACTTTTGGAATTTGAGCAGTTTAGGAACTCATAAAATCTGTCACGAGCAAATGTTGAACTTCCTTTAAAGAAGCCTGAACAGAAAGGGCATTAATCCAAACACTCTACCATCAAAAAATACTCTTCTCATAGATTCTAACACTCAAATATGACCAAATATGTAATCATACATAATACAACTTTAGACTGGGGACATTGCCGGCCTTGTGATCTGAAGCAGGCTTTCCAGAGTTGAGATTAGGTCAACCAGAAAGATGGCTTCAGACAGAAGGACCAGGTCTACGTTGCAATGGCTCAACATGTGTTGGCAGCAGCAATGTATTCGAACAGGAGCGGAAAAGCAGCACACGTTTAGGTACGATTTCAGTGTGACCAAGCCATGGCGTGACCACGACAGGTAGCCCTTGATTTACGACGCACTCCATTTATGACCCACTCCACTGATGTTTGTGGGGGTTCTGTTGTACATCTTAGTGTTAGAAATATGTTCTTCTACAATGTCAAGCACGTAAATGGTGGATTTATCATTCTAAGATGTCCAATGCTATTATTTAGAAGGATACTAATAATGGGGGATGAGGGAAGGAATTCAGCTTAATATTCGAACCAACTTATTGCAGATTTGTTGGAATGACAACTCCATAGTAAGCCCAGGACTACCTGTCTTGCAAAACAAGGGCCAGTTTCAAAATTTCATTTGAATAAGAAGGTGAAGATTCAGTGTACACCTTTTCATTCTGTCCAGGGGGTGCTGAGACTTTAGAAGTACTGAGTAACGTTTTCAAAAGCACAACCACCTTAGGAACTGTTTGAGTCAAAAGAGTTGATGAGTTAATATCTCCTGAGCATAAAATTTGCTCTCAGAGTTTACATACCAAATATTTTATGAGAAAACACAAAAACAAAAAGCAGCTTTCTTTACATTTTTAAGAAAAGTTTTTCCAAGGTTGTTCAGACTTTCTAAATTAAATACATAGGCAATACTGCAGTTAAAAGAAAAAAGTAAGAGGCCACTAAGTCAAATGGAAAGAAAACAGTAAAGAATGGAGGATAAACTGCAAAGTAAAACGTGACTCAAAAGAGTCTTTTTCTAAGTCAAGTGTGGAGTGCGATTATCAACCTGAAGTTCTTATTACAGCATGAATGTCATTACGTTTTGGGGAAAACAGTTTTAACAAATCTCTCAGGGGGGAAAAATATAGTTGCTATTTTTCCATCTCAAAGCGGTTATGAAGTCCAGCGCCACCAGGCAACCTTCATCCGGTCCCACACCGCCGAGAGAGAGTCCAGGGCAGGACGGACATCCAAGATAGTGAACTGGTAGTCTTTGTCCACCTCACCACCATCGTAGTAGTCAATGATGTACCGCACCTCTGTGCCGCAGCGGTTGACAATCCAATCGTGCCTGTCAAAAGGTAATTCATACCTGGAACAGAAACAAGCCAGTGAGCGGGAAAAGAACAAAAGGTAAAATAAATAAAGCGTGTTTCCTATATATTCACTTAGTTCAATAAAGGACTAAATCAATGAGAGACCCAGGTCAGGAGGGTGAACTACGACACAAGTCCAGATGGGAGCTGAGAAGCTGAATTACACTGAGAAAAACAGAAGTTAATAGATTCAATCTTAGGAAGAGTAAGAGGACAGAAGGCAGCGCAATTCAGTCCAAAAATTGTCAGATAGGAAGCAACTCAATAAACCCTAAGAACCTGGTGGTCTTCAGGCAAATTTTCAGGAGAGGAAGCCATTCACTCGATTTAGGATCAGTTTATGAAAACAGATATACAGATATTCAGTTCTGGAAGGTGGTGCTAACTATTGATCCTTGGCTGGTTTTGTGTTTGGTGGGGGGAGGTGATAACATCCATCACTGGTTCATGTGCAGTTTTTTTCACTAGAAACCAGTTTTTCAAATTGTTCGCTTCTCTTTTTTTAATTTATTTTTTAATTGCGATTTTAATGAAAGTTTACAGATACTACACTTGATCTTAGCTAAAAGGTTGAGAAGTGAAGAAAGTTTACAGAAAAGCTGGATTTTCATTCATTCATTCATTGTTAAACGTTTTCCTCCCTACCCCTTAATTCACTTTATTTTTTTTTTTCACTTGTGTCAAGAAGAAAACATCTACCCAGACCCAAGGAAGGAGCAGTAACATTTCTGCACTGGTACTCACCCCATCCAGGAACGGATCCGTGCCCGTGGTGAATACTCTTTAGCTTTACCCCCAAAGCGGATCAATGACGGGCCACAGGGACATTCCCTAGAAATCCCACATAAGGAAAGTCTGTGAAATAACTGCTTCTTTTGGAAAAGCTACATGTTCTAATGTTTCAATAAGACCTTCTATATTTACTTCACAAGCTATCACATTTATAGAGAAAGAGAAGTTTATAAAAAGATAGCTTTAAAGGTACAATTCAAAGACTTAGTCCCTCTCTGTTAAGTGCATCCATGCGTTATTGGTGGAGTGAGTCTGTCTGCTGAGAATCTGCTTACATCCCTGCACCAAGCAGAAAGCCCTGCATCCCGATGCTGGCAAACAACAGTGTGCGTGTCTAGGAAGGAAGGGAGGACTGTTGCTGGATGTTATTAAAGAAAAGAACAAAACTTTAAAGCAACACTGATGGCACTTTTGGAGGATTTCTGCCACTACTGTCCCCGGCTCTGGCTGGGGAGTCTTTGCTCCTGAAGCCCTAGACATAGCTAAGCTCACACCCAACCCTCTCATCTACTGGCATTTCAAAGTGATCACGGTTTGACAACACCTGGTTGGGGGGAGCATCATAAAATCCCACGTAGTGTGCTTTACTAGGAAGACCAACAATGTGAACCAATGAGGGAAACTAGTCTGAAACAGGACAGCTACACAGAGGTTCCTTTTCAGGAGTACAAGCACACTTACGTGGCATGTAGGGCTTCCCATTTGAGGATCTCCGTCCAAGCCTGCTCGTTATTCTGGTTGTGAATTCGAATGATGTTATACATATCTTCCTGACTAATATCCTCATTTTTCCACTTCCACCTAGAAAAGAGCATTGGGTAATATTTTGCTGACAGCACCAAACAATTAATCCATGGACCTCTAAGATGAGCTACTGAACATTACCCTCTATGAGAGTGAGGAATGGTAACTGCCTATCTGTAACCTAAGCGTCCTTGCAAGGAAACTTGGAGTGCACTGGGTGGTTAACTGAAAAGTCAGATGTTCGAACCCACCAGCCGGTTGTGGATAGAAAGATGAGGCAGCTGGCATCCATAAAGATGTACAGCCTTGAAAACCCCACAGGGCCATTATACCTTGTCACTATGAATTGGAATCAACTCGAGAGCAATGGATTTTCTTTGTTTTTGAAGCTTTATTCAGAAGATTCACTTATAACCAAAAATCAAAATGTAAAACAGATCTATCAGAAACAAAGGACAAAATTTGTCCCCCTTAATCTTTCAGTGTCACCTAAAAACCAGTGATGCAAAACTTGAGGTACCATCTGTTCTGGGGTGACATTTTTTCAGTAAGTACCACTGATCAATGATCTCCCAACTTTTTCTATGGTTTTTATAACACATTGGTTCCTTTTCCCTTGATAATTACTAGCCTGGCCAATATTCTGTAGATCTGGAAAAGCAATTGATTATCAGAAACTAACTTCTAAAAGTTTACTGAATGTTTGGGGGATAAAAATGTCTTTGACATTTAATTCTGAGAGGTGATAAACTGCTAGTGTATACAGTAGGCATCCTCACTTACCCTTTCCTTAACATCGCATTCCAAAACATCTGCTCTGATGGGTACACCCACTTTTTCTCGGAATCTGCTCTTGGAATAGAGGACTCCTCCCTGGCAGTCGACAGAGGAAAAGGCTGGTCGGGGGCTGGCATCTGATTAGGGGGTGGCATCTACAACAAGCAAGCAAATGGTGTCATGTCAGAAATAGGAGACAAAAGGACAAATGAGCAGTGTCACCAACAATCTAGTGGAAAGGAGTGCATTACACGAGAGGCATGGGGTCCCAGGCACACCAGCCTCAGCCAAATTTCAGCCTCTCGGAGAACCTGGCTGGTTCAGGGCGGTGGAATTTCCATGCGTTTTCTTTCCCACTTAGCTGAACACTGTGGTTACTTTTTTTCCCTTTGAACAAGTTTAAACCAATGTCAAATGAAGGCTGTTCATGAGAATTTTCTAAATTCTCTTGTTAAGCCTACAGTCCTGTAAAGTGTGGACCCCAATTTGTCTTTTCATTAAAATGTGATTCCTAAAACGAAATCCTATGCTGTATGATCATCACAGCATATCGAGCAGCCACATTCATTTTGTCCTAATAATGGCCTTACAGTTGCTGACAATCACAGGATACTGCGACATTCTCGGACTCACAAATAGCAGTACCTACCAAAGCAGCAGTGCCCTATCTTATGGAGTACCTACAAGGTTCTTCTAAGACCAAAACCACCTTTGCTAACTCTAGCTACATTCCTTAGCGAATGCTACCATCGAGTAACTCTAGCCTGAAAGTAAGTATTTGTTTGGCATGGCCTCCTTCCAGTAAGCCTATTTCTGGCTTGTAGTAAGCAGTTTTCTTTCGCAGGTATTTTCTGTAAGTTACAGAGTCTACAGTTTGCCTGTGGGAGGGACTACCCATTGTCTTTGCTTTAAAAGGACTGACAGATCAATCCTAGCAGCCTGCAACTTGTCTTGGGAGTTGAGACAAGTATCTCACACAGGCAAGTCCGATGAAGCGGGGATTAGCAGGTATTACCAGATTGGAAGGATCTAGGTTCTCCTTATTCTCCAACACAGCGCCTGTCACAGGGCACTGCACATACTCGTAGGCTCGGTCCTGGTGAGCGGGCACAGAGGAGGTTGTGCTCTCACAGCTGGCATCTGGTTTTGTGCTCATGGGACAACCTAAAAGAAATCAAGTATGAAAATGGAAACCCCACAAAAGCTCGCTTTCTGAGCAACAATTACCTACAGAGGAAAAGCCAGGTTTCTAGGGCTTAAAACTCCTGAGAACTAAGTATAACTAACATCTTAAAGAGGAAGCAGCTCTGTAAAATGCCTTTGCCTCTGAAAGGATGGAGATGCAGCCTCTCTTTGAGTCATGCTCCTCACCAGAGAGAAACAGCAACTCCTCAGTTTCTTATCAGCACATGGTCGAAATGACTGGTGCACAGGTACCCAGCTTGAACTAAAGCAGTGAGGTGCTGCCTAAGTGGGGACCAGGTCATGTCTAACTCTGTCCTTGAAGTGCCACTCCAAGTTGCAGACCACCCTTGCCCAGTGAGGGTTTGGTGCAGGTCAGGCATTCTGCACTGATGCTCTGTGTAAGATACTGGGGGGCCAGGGAGGTGTATTTGGACTGCAGCCTTCACAGAGGCTAACCAGAAACCTTCAAGTGACTGACTCATGACAACCCGTGTGTCAGAGGAGACTTTGCTCTGTAGGGTTTTCAGTGGCTTGAGTTTTTGGTAGGAGATTACCCAGCCATTCTTCTGAGGTGCCTTTAGATGGAGCTGAACTATTAACTTTTTGGTTGGTAGGAAAGCGTGGTAACCATTTACAGTACTCAGAGACTCCAAGTGCTTCTCTCTTAGGAATTTGGTGATGTGTGAATCCCTGTGAGCAGGTAGTGGTGGTTTAATAAGACAAAGCAGACACCAGAGTCCTCCGAAGAAGGAAGGTATGAACCTAGAAATGGCAGCAGAAAGGGCCGTCAGGGCCCAAGGATCCCCAGTGTACGTCTACTCAAGCTCAGAGACTGAGCAGCTGCCCTGAGAGCAGAGAGTGAACAGGCACCTGGTGGCCTACTGCCCGAGGAAAAGGCTGCTCTTGGGCCAGGATCCCTGCCTGAGGCAGCAGCAGTGACCATAAGTGTGACACTTTTGTGCCCTCGCCTCCTGGCCCTCGTCTCCTACTATTCCATGCTGCTGCCTACTTTAAGGGTGAAAGATTTGCTATTCCTCCTCTTTCTACCAAGTGAAGCTCCAACTCTTCCCAAATAGCTGAGCCCTGTTGTGTGTTAGAAAGAAAATGAAGTGGTTACATTTTCACCTTCAGTAGCCCCCTGAATTCTCCTAGAAATACATCCCCACTCTGCACTAATGACACAAATCCGACTCAGGGCTGTCCTGATCCACACAAATGAAAAAATGAATGGATACTCTCCAGACTCCCTGGCACACCCACAGCAAGAGCAGGCCTGCTGTCGGAATCCAATGCATCTGTCCTTGCTCAAGGTCACAGAATTTTCACCAGCTTTGCCACTTGTTCCTTGTGTGCTCAGTGCCTCAGCTGGCTTGACTGTACAACAGAGTGATAACCTATCACACAGGATTCTATGGGCTAGAAGATAAGCCCTGTTAGGCAAAGGATTTGAGTATGTCTCGTACCCTGCGCACATGGCTACTAATCAGTGATTCAAACCCACCAGCTTTTCTACATGAGAAATCCCTGTAGATCTGCTTCCATGAAGATGGCAGCCTTGGAAACTCTGCGGGGCCGTTCTCCTCTGTCCTACAGGGCTGTGGGCAGGAGGTCACCTGCCAGGAGTGACTTTGATTTTTTATGTTCTTAGTGAAGAACCAATCAACCTCAGTAACAAATGGCAGACTTGGGGGTTAGTAAACCTTTGCTGAGTGAGTGACGGTCTGAGCTACTAGCACGAGAGGACTCAACAAGTACTCTGTGCTGGTTCCTCCCTCCTCCTCTGGGGTTAAAACAAGGAGTTTCAGGTCAGACAGACTCCCTGCAGCTTTCCCACCTCAGCTATGCCAAAAAAGGGCTGAGAGGCTCCCAGGTACTGACTTTTTTGTAGTATTATGGACACACTCTGGTGCGTGTGGCAGTAAAGTTCAGTAAGAGTATGGCCATCCAGACCAGGGCTTCGCAACCTTGGCACTGGTGATGTTTGGGGCTGGATCACTCTGCTGTGAGGTGCTGTCCTGGGCACCGGAGGATGATACTCACCTCCCTACTCTTCCACCCACCAGGTGCCAGGAGCACCAACTCCTCTAGTTGTGACTGTAAAAAAAAAAAAAAATGCCTGCACATGGCACCAAGTATCCCTTAAGGAAGCCTCTCCTCTGAGACAGAGGTAAACTTGGAAGGGTGGGTGATGATTTCTGAAACCATTGGCAAGTGTGTCACAATATCCCCATCCTGACATGGACAGAAGCAAGGTGTCTAAAGCTACAGGCCTTAACACGGGAAAACAGAGCAAACTTAGCTGTTCTAGCAGTACCCTATCGTCTTAACACAGGGACAACAGAGACCAAATCCAGCTGTTCCAGCAGTACCCTATACTGCCTCGTGTTCAGAATCCCTTTGGGAAGTCTCTATTTTCTAGACACAGTCGGTTACCTCTCATTTTCTGTTCATGCATTGGACATCCTGAAGGCGGCGACGCTGTCTGGGGCTCTGAAGCATTTTTGGTCTGAATCGTGGCGGCAGGAGTAGATGCAGACAAACCCATGGCTGGAGTCGCTGAGGCTGACCCCAAACAAACACAAGCCAAAGCAAAAGGACAGATTACTTCTGACGTCTTGGTTCCGACTACTCCCTCATTATCCTTAACCCAGGCAACGAAGGATGACAACCTGTCTTCCTAATGCGAACAGCAGGAAACACACCCTGAAAGATCCCTCTAAAAATATTACTATAAGGGTAAAATCTATGCCACCATTTGGGGGCTTTGGGAGAGCGTGAAGAAGTTTCTGAGAAAGAAAGAAAAAAACTATCACAGATGCAGGCCCGTGTTGGGGCTTGCGGGGCAGTTCTCCTGCTGGGGATGAGGAAAGCCCACCTTACCGAGTTCCGACTCCTGGATCGGGGGAGTGGGGCGCAGAAACGAAAACGACCAGTCTCTCTGCCTCACATGGTCCCCACGCCTCCCACCTGCCCTAGCCCGGCGCTCCAAACTTCACCCGACTCCTCCCTCCCCCGGGCTGTTCCGGCCGGTCCCCGCCTTATCGCCAACTCAAGCTCAGAGCAATAATGACACGCCACTACCTTGCGATCGCTCGGTCACAGATGTCGCCTCGGTCACAGCCGGCACAGGTTATCACTGCGGCTTCCTTTTCTGAAGGCGGGACTTCCGGAAATGCGAGCAGAGAGGCGGAAGCCGAAGTGATATAACTTCCGGTTACCGCAGCGCGAGGATGCGTGCTGTAGCCCCGCCCCCACCGGCAGGGAGCCAAGTAGTTACACTGCACCTAGAAAGAGAGAGGTTTGTTTTGATTGCGAGACTTTCTTAGAAGGACGCTCGCAGCTATCGATGCTTTAAGCCGCAGCAGGATAACGCTGGAGAAGTATTCTCCAAGTTTCTCTGTGTAAGCTAGGTTCCCGTTAGTCTGAATTCTAGTAATGACTCCAGAAACATCAGTAGGTGTCCGGAGCTGCGGACTCTGCAAATCCACAAATGCACGAGATGGCCAGGCCCCCAAGGACTTCTTAGCTGGGTATGTGGACGGGTGGGGAGAAAAGTACATTTTTTTTTTTAAAGTACAGTTTTATATTCATTTGCCTTGAGCGGAAACTTTTTTCCATTAAGAAAGTAGGCATCAAATCCCTATAGTGTCTGATTTCAGTAAGAATCACAACTATGGTTGTGTGTCTGTCACAAAATACCGTTTATCATTACTTGGAAATTAATGTAGTTAGAGCTTGTTAGGAGTCACTAGGTGTTACAAGTTGCTAAGTGCTCTCTTCTTAGCCAAAAGTTTGGCAGTTTGAACCCACCCAGAGATCTTAAAATACGGACTGGCTTGAACTACCACCACAGTTTACTTTGCCCGGGTGGGGGTCTTCATGAGTCATGAGAGCACCCGCAAAACTTGATAGTTTGAATCCACTCAGTGGCGCCTCAGAAGAGAAGCGTGGCTATCTGTTTTGGAAAGTTCATTGTCTTGTAATTGCTGTGGCGCCGTTTCCCACTGTATGTAGAATTGCCGTCAGTCGGCATTTACTCCACAATGACTGACAATAGACATTGTTCTTGAAAATATTAAAGAATCTGAGGTCTTTCTATATCACTGTAGACATCCCCTGGCTATTGGGAGTCAAGCCATGATCCTTCCCTGCCGACAGACTACATCCAAGGAGTATTCCATGCAAGGTAAACGATTCAGAAGGGCCATTCCAGCTTCAAAGCTGCTCATAGGATGAGCTGTAGGTAGTTAACTCTTTTTCCATTTGCCTAATGCTTTTGCCCCCACCTTCTCACACTGTTCCCCAGAGCACTTTTGTAAGCAAATCTCAGAAATTACATGTTAATAGTTAGATGCTGTCGCTTCCACTAGACTATATAACTCGTACAATGTTGCCCTGTCCTCACGATCTCCAGCATGCTCATTGTTGCGGTCACTATGTCAGTCCACCCGGTTGAGGGTCTTCCTGTCTTCTGCGGATCCCTCACCTTTCCCAGCATGATGTCTTTGTCTAAGGACTCGTTCCTCCAGACAACACGCCTAAAGTAGATGAAACGAAATTTCACCTTCTGTGTATCTAAAGATCACCCTCGTTGCACTTCTTTCAAGACAAAACGTCTTCATTTTCAGAGTCCATGGGACATTGAATACTCTTTGTTAACATCACAATTCAAAGACATCAGTAATTCTTCCATCATCCTTATTCATTGTCTAGCTCTGAAGTGCGTATAGGAAGCAGTTGAAAATACCGTGCCTTGAATGACATGCACTTTCGCCTTTAAACTGATATCCTTGCTCTTTAATAGTTTGGAGAGGTCCTGGACAGTACATTTGTCCATTGCAACACATCTTTGGTTTCTTGACTGCTGCTAACATTGGTGTTGATTGGGGATCCAAGTAAAATGAAATCATTAACAACTTCAGTGTTTTCTCCATCATGCATGATGTTGCCTATTGATTCAGTGATGAAGATTTGTTTTCTTGATGTTGAAATAGAATCCATATTAAAGGCTGTAGTCTTTGATCTCCTGCCCTAAGTGCCTCAAGTCTTCTTCACTTTCTGAAGGTAGAGTTGTGTCATCTGCATAATGCAGGTTGTTGATGAGTCTTCCTCCGATCCTGATGTCACATTCTTCTTCACAGAGTCCAGCTTCTGGAATGATTTGCTCAGCATATAGATTGAATAGGCATGCAGACCCATACCTTTTCTGATTTTAAACCATGCAGCATTCCCTTGTTCTGTTTGGACAACTGCTTCTTGGTCTACATTGGTATACATTTGCATGAGTACAATTAAGTGCTCTGGGATTCACATTCTTCTCAGGAGCCATAATTTATGATCCACACAGTCAAATACTTTTGCATAAAACACAAATAAAAATCTCTTGTAGGTTCTGGAACAGCAAAAGAGAACTGCCAGATGTACAAGCTGGGTTTAGAAGATGCCATGGCAGTAGGGATATTATAGCCAATGCTCAATGGATCTTAGCTGAAAGTAGAGAGTACCAGAGGAATGCCTGTCTGTGTTTCATTGACTATGCAAAGGTATTTGACTGTGTGGATCACAACAAATGAATGGGCATTCAAGACCACCTTCATGTGAAACCTATACTTGGACCAGGAAGCACGTGTCAGAACAGAGCAAGGAAACACTGACTGCATGGTTCAAAATCAAGAAAGGTGTACACCAGGGATGCATCCTATCTCCATGCTTTTTGCCCCCCTTCTTTTTTTGGGTTTTTTTTTTCTGTGTGAGTGTCAAATCAGATCCAACTGACAAAGGAGGAAATTGCCTCTCCTTCTCTAGCAGAGCATCGGGTGGATTCAAACCATGTGCCTTCGGGATTGTGGAACAGATCATCTGGGAAGCTGGGCTTTATGAGAAAGAATGTGGCAGATTTTCACCACTGGACCGATTGGCAGTGTCACGATAGAAGATGAAGAGGGCCAGAGACGGAGTTCCGCCGCCAGAGATGGAGTTCCGCCGCCAGACGGGCCGGGAAGAGACCCAGGAAGAGCAATAATCATCCATCCACCGAGGAACTCCAGAGGAGCGAAGACTACCCGCCACTGTGCGACCCCCCCTGCAGCCTGCACCTGTGTGACCCCCGACACACAGGGTGCTGCTGCATAAACAACCCGCAGCGCCCAAGCCCTGTGCTCCTTACCCCCCTAGTCCCTTGCTTTCCTCCCCTTCCCCCGCCCCCCTTCCAGATCCACAACCACGCACCTCAGCCCCCACCACAGGCCTGTGACCTCAGGGCACCACCACAGATCCAGCCATCACCTGGAGCTATCAACCGAGCTGTTGTGGAACTAACCTGGCAGAAGAAAGGCCCGTAGGATCTTAAATGTGTTTACTGGGGCTGATTATCTGGGAGAGCACCTAAGGGTGTGCCCACAGGTGGGGAAATTGGCAGAGCTCTCTTGGGTTCCCACCCAAAACGAGCCAGCCAGCTGGCTTCTGTGAACTAACTCTGTAGACCAGCCAGAGGCTCGTGGGTTGGTGGGAAGTTGACCTTGACTATTCGGATCCTGTCGGATCCAGGACCCTGCTGGAGCAGGGGCTCTTGTGTGAGGGCACCTGTATAAGTGCCACCAGGCAGGGAACACTGAGAAAACCATTGGGTAGGAAACGGACAA